AGCCTGGTGAGATTCGTGCAGCAGGACAGCCTGCGGCAGGCGGGCTTGCCCCTAGGGCCGCGGCTGATGGGAGTCAAGGCCGACAGACTGGAGATGGATTATCCAGACCTCTTCCGGGACTACCACATCACGGCCAAGGACATCAGGTTGTTGTAGGTTGGGTGTGGCAAAGCGGCGGGCGGGTGGCGGCTGGACAACTTCTCGAACGGCTCACGGCTGATTCTTCTTCTTCCACCCAGCAATCTGAGGTGCCATGCAGCCGCCAAGGACTGGGGACGAGATATCGACCCGGCGCGCAGTCTGCAGCTGAGGATCGACGCCGCGCCTGCAGACTACTTTGGGCACCTGAGCGAGGGCGGGAGGAGGACCCTGCTCTGCTGGCAGACCCCTCGCCAGCTCGAGATCCTGCTCAGGTATGGACACAAGCGAGGCGTCTTCCTGGACTCTACGCATGGCACCAACGAGAACAGGGTATGAAGGGAACGGGAGAAGGTGATGGTCCTCTGCCCTCAACTCAGAGGCTGGCTGGGAGTCTGACCCGCCTCACCGCATGCCCTCTGCTTGCAGTTCCCCATCGGGTCCTCCAATCCTGTGCAAGCCCGTCGCAAGAGGCAAGGCCACTCCTCAAAGGGAATGATCTCACTTCCCCTGCTTCATGTACACGCCAATCCAGACCAGCACCGGTGGGCACACCTGCGCCATGCTCACGCAGAATGCTTCACGCCCCCACCTCATACCCATGCCGCAGTTTGAGCTCTTCTCCCTCATGGTTTTGGATGACCACCATGTGACGCACACCGTGTCCGTCGCCAGCGCTGCCCAGAGCACACACGGTCTCATCCATCACTGGCTTGCTGGCGTTGTGGAGAGGGCTGGGCCAGCCTGGAGGCCCTCGTGCGTGTTCACCGACCAGTCGCGGCCCCAGTACATGGCCATACAGTGCGTCAATGGGGGAACTGTGTGTGGCCATCGCTAGGCCGGGCTCCTGATCCGGAGCGGCTGCCGCGCACCTGTGCTGAGAGGCAAGATGTCGGCTGCGCATCTCTGCCAAGGCGCATTCCCTCTCAACGTCTCATGTGCCCCTCAGTCCCCTCTAGGGATGCATGAAACGACCAGATATCAATCGCCCTGTGCCCATGACATCTAATGCACGGCGGAGACAGGTACCCACCGGCTCTGCATGGGATTCAAGTACTCAGCGCTCCGCCAGTTGCCCGCTAGCATGCACGACATGCGCTGGCCAATGGACCGTGTGCTGTCCCGGCAGTAAGCGAGGAGGTACATGCGAGGGTCAGGTGCTCATCTTGACTCTCAATCAATCTCTCCTTCCTTATCATTCCTGTCTTCCCTGGTCTCACCTCACTGCACAAGAAGCTATACATCATGGTGAGTTACAGCAAGATAGGCCAAAGTCACAAGCTGCCTCCGACATGGGCTACCGAAGGCCACGTGTGGGATGGAAGAAAGGACTGATCAGAGCACAATTGTGGTGGGCAGGGAGTAGGACCCCGCATCAGTACCCGCCACAACTAGGACGTGATCTAAGAATGGGACCATACTGGCTTGGAATGTCTGCTGCCATTCTTGCGGGTTGATTTTGTTTGTGGGGCGTTTCTGAGCGGATGCCATCATCGCACCTTCGCTTGTAAAGAACCCGCAGTTGTAGAAGTCTGGTAGGGCCCCTGAAGCAGTGATGGTCAAGGTAACTGTGCTGCCTGATAAGTTGGCAGCGCCGAAGATGGGGTTGAGCGATGGTGGGGGTGGCGGGACCGCCGGTGGGGAAGGGGGGGAGACTGACAGGCAGACCGCTGTGGGCACGCCACCAAGCGAGCAAACCATCATGGTGGGCATACCGCCTGGGCACACACCCGATGCCGCAATCCCTGGATGATCTCCACAATCGGGAACCTCGGGCTGAGTCCCTGACTCGCAAGTGGCTGTGGGTACCCCCGACACGGTACAGATGACTATGACAGGGGTGGGCTCAGAACATGTCCCGCTGCTGGTCACCAAGACTGGGGAGTTGTCGCACGTAGAGGGAGGGGTTGTGGCATATGGGATTAATGTCAACCCTTGCACCAGCACTAAAGTGTTGTTGGCGTCCCAGACTAGAACACTGCTGTACCCAAAGGCGGCGGCCACTTCGATTGCAGAGAGCTCTGCTAAATCGAGGGATGGCGTTGTTATGGTGAAGGCAATAACAAAGGGATTGGCAAGGTAGGAGGTCCAAATATAGGCCTGGGCAGTATTATTGGTGTAGCCTGCCGACAAGATGTCAATGTATACAGTGACCCCCGCCGAGTTTGGGTAGTTGAAGGAGACTGTGCCGGTCAGGGAGATGGGCTGGGAAGGTGGAGGGCTGGAAGGAGGAGATGGCGGCGGATGGGGGTGGGGGGGAGATGGTGGAGGGGATGGTGGAGGGCTGGAATGTGGAGACGGCGGCGGAGGGGGAGGTGGAGGGCTGGGTGGTGGAAACGGCGACGGAGGGGAAGGGAGAGCTGGAGGGCTGGAGCTTTGTACGCACACGGCATCATAGAAGGTATCCTGGCCTTCCTCTACCATGCAGATGAGGAGGTTGGGATAATAGGAATCAAGGCATACACCACCAGACGGGTATAAAGAATCCTCCGGGCACACCGTGACACCTGTTGGAACTGTTGCGATGCAGATGGCAGTGGGAACACCATTTCGTACGCAGATATTCGGGTAGAGGCTCGCACCGCAAGTGGTCAGGGTCACCACGGGTGCATTCGAGCATTCATCAGATGGGATGGTGAAGGGCTGGGTGGTGGAGACGGCGGTGGGGGCTGAGGATTGGGAGGTGTAGCTGATAATGAGAGCTTTTCCCCTGGTGGTTCAGGAGGCTTTCTCTCGGGAGGAAGGTGAGGCGCATTCTGGGGTGTTGGAGGAGGCATGGCTGTGCGGATCAGCAAGGACGCCTCTGCTTGGACTGAAGGCATTGGTTGACGGTAAACGTTGAGCACAGACTGGTTGACTTCCTTGAGGCTGCGCATGTTCAGAGTCCCCTCAACACCGACCGCCTTTTTACACTGTAGGCTGTCTTTCTCGTTGTTGTACACACAGTTTGCGTTTCCTCCGGTCAAGTTCCCTGTGAATCAAGCAATCAAGAAATTGCTTCAGGGGCCATGCCCTGGACATTGTCTTCCCATTCTCTGCCTCCAG